CAGCCTTGGCCAGCTGTGAGCTGTTTCCCACTCGGAGAAATAATTGGACTATTTTTCTATGTTTTTTTTTTTCTTTTGGGCCCCCCCTTTTACCTTGAAGTGGGCTCTTTCTTTCCCGATGTCACCCAAGAAGAGACAACAATTGTGATCATATAGCCAAACTACAATCACACTCTATATAATCCCACCATCTGTACAAGAGCCAATACCAGCTTCTATACACTACATAGAAGCCAATACTTGTTAAAATTTCTCTCAGCTGAGTAACAAAAGAACTGAAAAGTGAAGCCTGTTTCCTGATCACATCTAGAAGGAGACACTCAGAAAGCTTAACAATACAGCAATATACAGTCATCTAATTATTGAAAATGCCCAAGAAACAACTGAAGATCTCAACTCATGTCCAGAAATAAGATAGAATAGCTGAATCAAATGAGGTAGAGGTAGACCTAGAATTACCATTGGAAAGAGGGCAGGCTTTGGAACTGCCTGATAAGGAATTCAGGAGACTGATATTGAAGTGAATGCAAACACTCTACAGAGGGTTTGAGAAAAATAAGGAAGAAGTCAAGAAAGTGCTATAGGAACAATCAAATAAGATAGAAATACCATTGGAAACCATTGAAAACCTGCAAAAAGAGGTTCAAATGATTAATAATAAAATATCAGAAATGGACAATACACTAAAAGGACAAAGAGGTAGAATTGAAAAGATAGAAGCCAGAACCAGTGAGTTGGAAGACAAATCTCTCAATACTGCTAAGATAGAAGAGCAAGCAGAAAAAGGACTTTAAAAAAATCTGAAGAAAGTCTAAGACTCATGTGGGAAAATGTGAAGAGGAATAATCTGAGAGTTATCAGAGTTCCAGAACAGGAGCAATCTCAGAAGTCCACAAAGAAGGTAGTTGAAGAGCTTCTGGATGAAAATGTCCCTAACATCCTTTAAAACAAAAAGATAAGCATTCAAGAAGCTGAACAAACCCCAGGAAGCACAGATTCCCAAAAGAAATTCACCAAGACATATCAAAATCAAGTTCTCTAAAATCAAAGATAAGGAGAGAATCCTGAAATCAGCTAGGAAAAAGAGAAGTGTTAATTACAAAGGCAAGCAAATTAGATCAAGTTCTGATCTCTCAAAACAATTATGCAGATTAATGCAGGCAAGAAGGCAATGGGGACCCATATATAAACCCTGAAAAAAAACAAAAACTACTAAGCAAGAATCATCTACCCAGCAAAACTGTCAATCAAACATGATGTTGCAATCAAAACATTTCAGGATAAACAGAAATAAGGGGCTTTGTCAAAGCCAACCCAGAGCTTCAAAACATCCTAAAGGGAGTTTATTGGACTGAAAACCAGCAAGAACAGACAACAACGAGAGATTGACAAACATGCCAACACCACCCATAACTCAGTCAACTGATAGAAAAGTCCAGAACAGAAAAAAAAAACTTCAAGAACAAATCCAGAGGACCTAGAAGGTCAGTCTACGATCAAAACAATTATAATGTGAAAGAAGGTAAAAATATAGGAACAGAAAATGAGGTGGTGAGGAGGTCAGGTAGATTGCAGGATAAAATGAACTGTTTTAAATGGAGGAAAAAGTTCATAAAATATAGGATAACGTCAAAGAAAATTAATACTTCACAACATACCAAGAAAATGAAAATCCAAGAAGAACATAGAAACATTAAAACTATAAAGAAACTAGCAAGAAAGAGGACATAAAACATGAACTCAGCACAGGAAACCAGCAGCGCCACAAAATGACAGCAATTGATTCATACCTATCAATAATTACACTGAATGTCAATGGATTAAATGCATGAGTCAAGAGACAGAGAGTAGAAGAATGGATAAGAAAACAAGATCATTTAATATGCTGTCTGCAAGAGACACATTTTGCACACAAAGACAAAAACAAATTAAAAGTTAAAGGATGAAAAAATACATACCAAGCTAATTGAACTAAAAAACTAGTAAGAGTGGCAATGCTCATCTCTGATAAACTTTAAGCAAAAACCAGCATAAGAGATTAAGAAAGACAATATTTTATGAGTAAAGGGTCAACTGAACAAGGTGACATAACTATAATAAATATTATGCTACCAATGAAAGAGCCCCAAAATATATATGGCAAACCCTAATAGTATTGAAGAAAGAAATAAACAAATCTACAATAATAGTGGGAGATTTTAATATGCCACTTTCGAAAAAGAATAGAACAAACATAAAGAAACTTGACAAAGACACAGAGTAACCAAACAACACAACAAGCAACTTTACCTCATAGATGTGTACAGAGCATTCAATCCAACAACAGCACAATACACATTCTTTTACAGTGCACATGGAACATTCTCCAGAATTGTGGCTGTTGTTAAGTATCGTGGAGTCGGTTCCGACTCAGAGTGACCCTGTACAGGGTTTCCGAGGCTGTAAATCTTTACAGGAGCAGAAAGCCTCATCTTTCTCCCGCGGAACCGCTGGTAGTTTTGAAATGCCGACCTTGAGGTTCGCAGTCCGATTCGTAACCACTACACTACCAGAGCTCCTTATTCTCCAGAATAGACCATGTGTTAAACCACAAAAAAAGTCTCCATAAATTTACAAACATTAAAATACTACAGAGCATCTTCTCAGACCACAATGCTATAAAATAAGAAGAAGAAGAAAAAAAGAAGGGCGAGGCATTGTAAATTGCTGTTTCATCATTTTTGGGGAACATCAGTACAGTGTTGTTTTTAAGTACTGATGAGTCTTCTGACGCATAGCAACCCTATATAGGATATCCAAGGAGCAGATGGTGAGCTTGAACCACCGATTTTTTAATTCAAACAGCTTTGCAGTCTGGCACATTAACCCACAGCGCCACACCAGGACTTCATGTACTGGAGATGAAGAACATTTGGGTGGGATTTAAGAGATAGAATTTCTGTGTGATGTGTGTGTGTTTGTATATAACTGTTTTTGTTGTTAAATGCTGTCGAGTCAGTTCTGACTCATAGCAATCCTGTATAGGGTTTCCAAGAAGCAGCTGATGAGCCTGAACCTCCGACCTTGCAGTTCCAACTTACCTTGTAGTCTAGCAAATTAACCTGGACTAAATTTTTTTGTATTTTTAATGTTTTCTTTTTTAACTTAATAGTATAGTAAGTAATTGAATGCTTAAATAATTCACAGAATTAGCTGCCTTTAGTTTATTCTAGAATATAAGCAGGGATTTTTAAATCCAATAAAGAAATCCTAGTGTGGTACTATAGGATAAGCACTGGACTGAGAACCACAAGTTCGGCGGTTCAAACCCACCAGTTGCTTCTTGGAAACCCTATAAATGGTTGCTAAGAATTGGAACCAACTCAAAGGCACTTAGCAACAACAACAAAGGACAAAAGAAAGAATGGTATTTGTCTATAGGTATGAAGAAGTAATGTTTTAAATACAGAAAATCCTCACTTTAACTGCTCAGATACACATGTAGTCCTTTTGTCTCCTGGAAACACGGTTCAAATTTCAGTTACCAGACTATATGAACTGTGCACTTAACTGAATAATTTCAAGAGCACACATTACCTGCTAGCTTTTCAGTCTATATATCATGATATAAACAACAGATACTTATCATGAAAAGTGACAAATACAGCCCTTCTTTCAAAGTCTGTTAGTGATTGGTCACAGTACAGCTGTGTTCAGTACATGCACAGACAGCGAAGCAGGCAGTTGTGTTACCTCCTTGTCTCCAAATTATTAATTCATGTGGCATGTTACAAAAATGGATACTGGCAAAAAAAAATAAAGTTCAACAGAGAAGTTTCAAGATACCACTGTTGGTCGTTTTGATGTAACTTAGGATTTCATTTTCGGCCTATTTCCTCTTTTGTCTGCTTGTCCCGCTCCACAATCCCCGTTCAGGACTTGTTTCTAGTTGGAAACAGTTCAGGGCCGGCTGTGGCCGTTTGGTTTTAATTGGAAACTGTCTCTTTAAATTTCGAGGAGATCTGTGCGCATGCGTAGTAGAACCCTCCGAGGGTGGGGCTGGGGTGCCCACTAGCTCAGGCACCCCTATAGTCACCAGAATGGAGGTGCACAGACAGCAAGGGACCAATGAACAGCTACCAAAAGTGAAGAATGTCCACACCTTTATCTCAGCGGTTCTGCCAGGCGTCTGTGGCCGCTCCGATCTTTCCCCCACGTGGTCTCACCCAAGATGGCGGCTCCTGGGACAGCCAAGCATCCCGGACTAGAAAGCAATAGATTTCTTGCTTCTGCCACAAATTCCCCCAGCTGTGAGCCTTCCAACCTTGTAAGTATTCCTTTATATGTGGTCCAGAGTTCTGGGACCATCCCCTGAGCCTGCTTGGTCGGGTATTCTGTGTTGTTGTTGGCGGAGCTCTCTGCTATACGTCCACCCGATCCGCCATCTTGTTTGTTCTTGGAAACAGTTTTTAATGTGTTCATGAAAAATGTTTAAAGGTCACAGAACCACCACAATTTTAGTTACAATTTACTAAGAACTTCCTTTATGGTTAGAGCTAGCAAAGTCATTTGTATGCCTTTGTATGAGCAAAGCAAGGATTGTCTGTACAGGAAAATACCTTGTTAGTCTTAAAACATTTTTCCTCCATTTAAAACAGTTATAAGTCATAAGGGGACTTTGCTGCTATTTATTCTGGGATCAAAATATAAGTACAGGAGAGCTTCAAAAAGTTAATGGGAAAACGGAATAAGATAGACAGCTGAACTTTGTGAATATCAATTCATCAAAACACTAAGTTAGAATCATACTACCACAGTCCCTGTATTATATTACCCAAAAGTAATTTGTATCCTTGCTATGAATAAGCATTATAAATACATATTGGTAATACTTTTGTAGTACCACTATAATGGATTGTCAATAATGTATAAAAATATATCTTTTTTTTTTTTTGAGTTTTGCAAAATTGGCTTCTAAATATGTATCTTCAAGGAACTTGGCACCTCTGGGGATAACTCTGTTATGTGTTACAAATCCATTTTCTATCTGTGTAGGTCCTGGCACTACTGACGCCATTGTCATTCAGGTAGGCACATTCTCCAACTCCTTTAATGATAAACCTAAAACCAAACATAAAAGTATTCATTACTGAGAGGCTGGACATCTACATTCGCTCCTCTATTATTTTGTTGCTGTTGTTTTTAGGTTCCATAGAGTCAGTTTCAACTCATCAGAAATCCCTCTCAAGATCTTTTTTTTTAACAATAAAATAACGGTCTATCATTAATACAATTACTTACTGTCTCACCCCATTTCTCTATTTAGTGTTTTTGACATTCTCCAGGTTCCTGTTTGAATATCACAAGTTTATCAATCATCCATAACAAACTCACTTGTGTTGTTGATTAGGTATTCAACTACTATTTAGTGTTGTGTCCAAATAGACTGCTGCCATGTGTGGTCATCAGTGAAGGGTATTTTCTGTCTTCCCTGAATGGCTTTATAAATGTGTGAAAAAATTTTAAAAGTCACTGACTTGTAGGTAAACCCCTAAAAAGTCCTAACTTTGACTGATAGAGATGACTGAATGAAATGGTTTGGTGGTTACTGTTGCTAAGTTCCATTGAGTTGGTTCTGACTCACAGGGATCCTGTGTAAAACCGATGAATACATTAACCTGTGTCAGCCTCACAACTATTGCTACTGTTTTCAATCCACCTCATTGAGGGGTTTCCTCTTTTTTACTGAAACTCTACCAAACATGATGTCCTTTTCCAGGGCATTCAAAAGATTCCATACTTTAAATAACATATTCCAAGGAATTATTATGTTTCTTTTGGCAATAAGACTTTGGAAAGGTCTTTATGGGTTTCTTAGTGATCTTCCTTTTATGAATGGATGCAGCAGCTAGAAAAATGGACTTAAGCAGTCTTGATATCAGTTCTTCAGTGGCTTTCTAGTATTTTTTATTGTACACCAATTGTTTCTACAGTCTAAGTAAAGGACTCCTGGGAATTTCAGTAAAGAAATGTTCTCAATCAGTGAATGAGTACAAGAACTTTATTATATGCCATCATACATTAAAGATTTCAACTATAATCACAATAAGTAATGTTTTCCCCAAAACAGCTAGTAAATGCGAAAGAAAAAATAAGATCTACATTACTATCTCACATTTCAGTGAGTTTTGCATGACATTAAATTTGTCTCATAAAACATCTCACATACACAACCATAACAGTAACATAAGTGTAAGGAAGAGAAGTCTCAATACATACGAGTTATTATGGTTAGTGCCATCTGTCCATTTCCAGATATCCCGTGATGATTCTCTGCTAAGGCCAATCCAATGGTCAGATGGACCTTTATATCTTTTCAGGAAATTCTATTATGTAACACAAAATGGAAACATTTGTCTCTTTTTCTCATATTACTCTGGAGTCTCTCTTCCCTGCAGTGTTTTCAGGGTGGGTACTGGATACAATTGAGAAGCACAAACATTATCTAAAGTGCCCTCCCATCCCAATTTACCTAAAATCATCCCAATTTATGCCTGTTATTCCAGTATAGCATTTCATACTGTCTACTTTCACTTCCTAAAATGTCCCAATTTGGATGATAAATTATAGACTTATTATATTTAATTACATTTATTAGTAAAATATGAAAAATACAACCAAAAAATGCAGCTAATCCACAGGTCAGCTATGAGGATTAAAAGAATGCATGTAAAATATCTCTTAGGATTCCAGGTATAAATATATTCTCAACAAATGCTAGACCCAAAGGAATAGCCCATACCCTAAAGTGTGCCTGGACTGGAATCTTTCTGTAACATATCAGTTTTAACTCTTCTAGTTCAGCTCCTCAGTATACTAAAAATTCATCAGAGATTATGACCCAAATTTTTTTTTACCAGTTCCTCCTGCGTTTCAATCAGAACAAGGCTGGCTTCCATTGAGGCACAAAACTTCTGACTGTGTGTCCAATTCCTTGTATCCTCAGAAAAATAATAACACTTCCCTCTAAATCCAATCCATTCTTTTCGGCAGGCAGTACACACACAGGCCTCTGAACTCTGCTCTCCTTTTCTCCCTAAGAGTAAGAAAATCACACTGGATTATAATTAAATACATTTTATCTTTTATCTGTTTACCCACTTCTTATCCCTGAGGTCAATTTTGAATTATGTAAAGTTGGTGGTGGTTTTCCAAATTCATCTCTAAGAGTTTTATCCTAAGCACAACAATCTTCAGTCCAGTGGACTTCATGGTAAGAATCTGTTCACCTCACAGTCCAAGGACAGAAATGATTATCAGGAAATGTATTTCCACATTGTCAGCCTATTTAGTACTTTCTTAATACCATATGGATTCTCTTTTCTCACAGCCTCCTTCATATTAGCCCTCTTCCTCTTGACAAAAAGGAAAACAAACTCCTTACCTCTCTTGGATTTTACTGTGGTGTATTTTGTGGGGGCGCCGTAAATCCCCAATGGACAAAATACAACACAAAACATTGTTATTGATGCAAAAAAACACAATCTCTGACTTTCTCCATTTTTTCTGCTTTATATTTGTGTTGCCATTGTTGTTGTTAATGCCATCAAGTCGGTCCCAACTCTTAGCGACCTTGTATAGGGTTTCCAAGGAGCAACTGGTGAGTTTAAACCACCGCCCCTGTGATTCATTCAAACTGATCTTGTGGTTCAGTGCTTTAGCCCACAACACCACACAGGACTCCCTGGTACCACATCAGGTACCAGGAATTGACTTAGTATGTCTCTTCTAGCTATGGTCTTTGTGACTCCCATTAAATGATTGGGTGAGAGTTGCAAATAGGGTGTATAGCACCTGAACTCTAGGACTGATTCGTTTTGCCATTCTGCTGGGTTTTAAAGCCCCAGAAGCAGAAACAGATGATACTAGCACATTCAAGAAAGAGAAGCCTGAAGAGAGCATGAGATCCCTACCTGGAATCGTGTTGGCAGCAGAGGCAGTGGCGGAGAAACAAAGTAACGTCAGGCTTCCCAGACCAGGGACTGAGTCATGCTGAGAGCCTACGGACAGGAAACTGACTTGCAGAACGTGCCCTTTGGGCATTTACAGACAGGCTAAAGGAGCTTTATAATACTAGCTGGAGCATGACAGAGACCAAGGGGCCACATGGCTCCAAAACTGAAGACAAAAATGAGGCATGCCTACTGTCAGACAGTTCTCCTAATTGGATGTTGAGTTATTTCTGATCCTGAATTATACCCTGTTCACTTCTTTAATAAACCGCACAATATTCGGTATTGTCTCTGAGTACTGTGCAGATAGTACAATGGATTATGGAATCCAGTGTAAGGACCAAACTGATTTTGCCTACTTAGAAACTGCTTGACTAAACTCTAGTCAGGCTCAGGAAAGCATTTTAAATAGACAAGGCCTCGGTTATTAGTTCCCTCCAGAGGCAAGGTCAATCTCCATTCTGTACATTAGCCTGAACACGTACTCTAGCTCCAAGAATATGATATATGCATAAATAGCCTGGCAGCTCAAGGCCAGAGGCCAGATGTTTTCCTTTACCCTAGCCTAAGAACAAAGACCACCAGTCCTGACCAATTAAACTGTAACATCTCATAGTTTGCCAATTGTTAACCAATCCAAAGATTGTAAAGCTGAGAAACCTGAGCTGTTTGAAAATTCTATAAAAACCCTGCAGACAATGAGTTCGGGGCTCTTTCCCTATTCCGAAATGTCGGATAAGGTTAGAGACCTGGCTGGAGCTTGATTAAACAACCCTTATGTATTTGCATCAGTACACGGCTCCTGGGTGGTCTTTGGGGACCCTGAATTCTGGGCATAACAGCAGCAGAAAGTAATGATGCTGTGGGAGGGATGGCTGGTGTCAGAAAAGGGAAATGAAAGTTAAGGGTGGAGGCATGTCTGACCTCCGACTTAAAGGAATCTGCTTTGGGTTGGTTTTAAGTTTCTCTTTTCCCCTTGGTAGTTTGGGGAAGTCAGGCATTACCTTCACACAGATTTATAATCGGAATTTCTGTTAAATATGAAGTACCTCATAAGGAGCTCTGGTAGCGTAGTGGTTACAAATAGGGCTGCAAACCACAAGGTCAGCAGTTCGAAACTACCAGCTGTTCCGCGGGAGAAAGATAAGGCTTTCTGCTCCCATAAAGATTTACAGCCTCGGAAACCCTGTACAGGGTCGCTATGAGTCGGAAACAACTCCACAGGCACATAGCACAGCATACAGCACAACAGTGCACATGGTGAATATACTCAGCTGTCAGTTGAAAGATTGAAGATTCAAGTTCACTCAGAAGCATCTCAGAATCTACTTCCGAAAAAATCAGTCATTGGAAATCAATGGAGCATGATTCTCTGACATGCATGGGGTTGTCATGAATCAGAATTAATAGCAACTGGGATTGGTGTGTGAAATAGTAAACAGAAAAAAGCACAAATTAAAAAAAAAAAAAAAAAAAACTTGAAAAGCCCACACAGGAAAAAAATACACATATATTAAGGTTAGGGTTAGAGTTAGCAATTGTCCTTGTGTGCATTTTTTCTTGTGTACTTTTATCATACTGGGTTTTTCTCTGTGTGGGTTTTTTTCATGTGCATTTTTTTCCCTAAAACTGTGTGAATTGTATATAAGAAATATTTGGCCCATGTCATATTTTCTGAAGCAATATACAGACCATGGGAATAGTAGAAATATTTGTTTCATAATAGCACCTTTTCCCCATTAGACATCTCTTCCTGTACAATCCTTATGTGTATCATATGGTGTGGAGGACCTATTATTGGCTCTGTATTCAAAGGACCTGGTGTGGCGCTGTGGGCTAATGCATCAGACTGCAGTCATTTGAACTGTAAGGTTGGTGGTTCAAGCTCACCAGCTGTTCCTTGGAAACCCTATATAGGGTCACTATGGGTCGGAGTCAATTCTACAGTACTTAGCAACAACATTCAATGGATCAAAAATTTTAGTAAAGCATATAGTTCTCTTCACTTTCATACATGAATTCTCAATTAACTTAAGTAGAAGATACAATTTTTGAGGCTAGAGATTGTTGTTGTTAAGTGCCACCGAGTCAGTTCCAACTCATAGAGACACCATATAGCATTTCCTAGGAATGGCTGGTGAGTTTGAACTGCTGACCTTGCAGTTCAACAGATCTTGAGGTCCAGTGCTTATCCTATAGCCCCACACCAGGACTTCAAGGATATGCTTAAAAACACTTCAAGTGCAGGTCTCACCCAATCCTTTTTTTTTTTGTAAATCTTTTAAATTATAAATTTTCTAAAAGTTTACAGACAAGATTTTTTAAGTTTTACATTCAATGAATCAACACTGTTTCATCTCAATGAATGCAATCCCCTTCATGTAACAACAGTAGTCCTGCTACCTCTCTGTGGTTGTTGTTGTTTTTAAGTGCTTTTGAGTTGGTTCCGACCAATAGTGACCACGCATATGGTTTCCAAGATGCAGCTGGTGAGCTTGAACTGCCAACCTTGCTGTTCAAATGACTTTTCAGTCCAGCGCATTAACCCACAGGGCCACACCAGGACTCCTCTCTGTGGTACCCACATACCAATATCTTATTTCAAACTCATGTATTTGTGGGCTATATATACACTTCCTAACATACCCTCTGGTAGCATAGTGGTTACAAATCGGGCTGTGAACCGCAAGGTCAGCAGTTCGAAACTATCAGCTGCTCCGCGGGAGAAAGATGAAGCTTTCTGCTCCCGTAAAGATTTACAGCCTTGAAAACCCTGTTCAAGGTTGTTATGAGTCGGAATTGACTCAACAGCACTTAACAACAACTACCCTCATACATTCATACAAAGTATGAATCTGGGAAAACTGGAAGTTGTCCAAAATGAAATGGAACACATAAATATTGATATCTTAGGCATTAGTGAGCTGAAATGGACTGATATTGGCCATTTTGAATCTGATGACTACATGGTTTACTACGCAGGGAATGACAAATTGAAAAGAAATGGTGTTACATTCATCGTCAAAAAGAACATATCCAGATCAGTCATGAGGTACAGTGCTATAAGTGATAGGATAATATCAATGCGCCTACAGGGAAGCCCAGTTAATACCATTATTATTCAGATTTATGCACCAATCACTAAAGCCAGTGAGGATGAAATAGAAGAATTCTACCAACTTCTCCAATCTGAAATCGATCAAACATGCAATCAAGATGTATTGCTCATTACTGGTGATTGGAATGCAAAGGTTGAGAGTAAAGAAGAAGGACCAGTAGTTGGGAAATATGGCTTTGGTGATAGAAATGATGCTGGAGAATGCAGCATAGAATTCTGCAAAACCAATGATTTGTTCATTTTAAATACCTTCTTTAGACAGCGTAACAGACAACTACACACATGGACCTTACCAGATGGAATACATAGAAACCAAATTGACTATAACTGTGGAAAGAGAAGATGGAAAAGCTCCATATCATCAGGGGCCAGGGGCAGACTGTGAAAAAGACCATCAATTAATCATATGCTAATTCAAACTGAAGCTGAAGAAAATGAAAACAAGTCCACGAGATGCAAAATATGACCTTGAATATATCCCACCTGAGTTTAGAGATCATCTGAAGAACAGATTTGATACATTCAACACTAAAGGCCAAAGACCAGAAGAGTTGTGGGATGACATCAAGAACATCATACAGGAAGAAGGCAAAAAAATCATTGAGAAGACAAGTAAAAAAGAAAAGGTCAAAATGGAGTTCAGAAGAGACTATGAAATTTGCTCTCCAGTGTAGAGATGCTAAAGCAAATGGAAGAATTGAGGAGGTACAAGAGCTGAACAGAGAATTTCAAAGATCAGCACGAGAAGATAAAGACAAATATTATAATAAAATGTGCAAAGATTTGGAATCAAAAAACCAAAAAGGAAGAACACGCTCAGCATTTCTCAAGCTGGGGGAACTGAAGAAAAAATTCAAGCTTCTACTTTCATTATTGACAGTCTCTGGGCAAATTATTGAATGATGCAGAATGCACCAAGAGAAGATGGAAGGAATACACAGAGTCATTGTACCAAAAGGAAATGGTTAATGTTCAACCATTTCAAGAGTTACCATATGATCAAGAGCCAATGATACTCAAGGAGGAAGTCCAAAGCGCATTGAAGGAATTGGCAAAGAGCAAGGCACCAGGAATTGATGGAATAAAAATTGAAATCTTTCAAGAAAGTGAGGCGGCACAGGAGGCACTCACTCATCTCTGCCAAGAAATTTGGAAGACAACTATCTGGCCGACTGATGGGAAGAGATCCTTATTTGTGCCCATTCCAAAGAAAAGTAATCCAACGGAATGCAGAAATCATCGGGCAATCTCTCTGATATCTCAAGCGAGTAAAGTTTTGCTAAAGGTAATACAGAAATGGCTACAATCATACATGTACAGAGAACTTCTAGAGGTTCAAGCTGGATTCAGAAGAGGCCATGGAATGAGAAATATCATTACTGATGTCTGATGGATCTTGGATGAAAGCAGAGAATATCAGAAAGATGTTACCTATGCTTTATTGATTACACAAAGGCTTTCGATTGTGTGGATCATAACAAGATATGGACAACATTGAGAATTATGAGTATTCCAGAACATTTCATTGTATTCATGAGGAATCTGTACCTGGACCAAGAGGCAGTTGTTCAAACAGAGCATGGGAACAGAGCATGAATGTTTTAAAATTAAGAAAGGTGTGCGACAAGGTTGTAGTCTTTCACCATACTTATTCAACCTGTATGCTGAGCAAATAATACGAGAAGCTGGGTTCTATGAAGAAAAATGTGGTGTCAGGATTGGAGGAAGACTCATTAACAACCTGCGATATGCAGATGATACAACCTTGCTTGCTGAAAGTGAAGAGGACTTGAAACATTTACTTATGAAGATCAAAGAGCACAGCCTTTGGTATGGATTACATCTCAATGTCAAGAAAACAAAAATCCTCACCACTGGACCAATAAACAACATTCTTATCAATAGAGAAAAGATTGAAGTTGTCAAGGACTTCATTCTTCTTGGATCAAATATCAACTCTCACGGAAGCAGCA